GAACACTGGGCGGGGATGGTCGTGGTTGAGGTCCGGCAGGGAACACTGGGCGTGGATGGTCGTGGTTGAGGTCCGGCAGGGAACACTGTGGATCGCGGGTCGCAGTTGAGCAAGGACAACAAGGATGACAAGGAGGACGAGGAGGAGGAGGACGAGGCAGGAGGAGGCGGAGGAGGAGGAGGAGCAGGAGGAGCAGGAGGAGGAGGAGGACGAGGAGGCAACTGACATAAAATCTAACAACCCTCACCTGGCAGGTGGGGAATCATTCTATCAAATCAAATCAAATCAAATCAAATCACATCAAATCAATCAAATCAAAATGGATTGACATGTGGTATCCCTCATTTTGAGCCAAACCAACGTTCACAGGACTTTTATACAGTCCACCTTTGCAGCCACCCCCAGCCTATCAGCAGAACCCCGGCACTTTGCAACTCTGTAGCTCCTTGGGCCTCAACAAAACACTGTTCAGATGAGGACGCCCCCGGTACCATAGTACCATGGATCATCTTAGATATATTAAGATACTAAAAAACATCTCGTTTTCAGTTGGTTAATGCATTGTTTCCTTCACGGGAAACACTAGATCCCAACACGACTTGTCTTTTCGCTTCCATTGATGGAAACAACTTGAAACCATAAAACAAATAAATGATAAAAGTGGGCCCAGGTGCTGGTCGGGTTAGAAGTTTGACCGCGTACAGTATGTTGCATTCTAGTACCTGGTAATCAAAGATTGCAAAAATCATATCCCCAATCTCACCATGATACATCAGATATTGTTGCTTATACGTTCCATCATATCCAAGTATATCCCCATGATAGTTGGTTAAAAACCGCAGAAACACACACACACACATATATACATATCCCCACTATATCCCCGCTTAGGGGTATAGTTGGTGTTATAAATGGATATAACAATGGTGAGTATATAGTTAACCCTCTAACTATGGTGAAACATATCCGCTTATATAATTCAAGCATGAGTTGGAATCCCACAGAAACATATATATATATGTAATATACATATGGAGGTTCCCACAATGGGGGTACCCCAATAGCTGGATGGTTTATAGTGGAAAATCCTGTTTAAAGGGATGATTTCGGGCACCCCCATTTTAGGAAACCTCCACATATATATATATATATATGTATATAATATTGTATATATATATATTGTATATATATATAATATGTATAGTATATATCCCCATGAACTATCTCCATGAAGTGCGCGCCCAAGTCACCAGCTCCGTGGAGAATTCCACGACCGTCTTGGCCACCTTCAAATCTGCCGAATGGAAGTCGTGGCAGTCTCCCTCCTCCGTGCGCACCACTTCGCAGGTCTCCTACGGCGCCATGGGGGATGCGACGACGCGACGGCTGGGGATGTTGAACGGGGGGAACCATAGGTGACATGGGGAAAATATAGGAAACTAGCGTGAAATCTGGGGAAATACCATGAACATCATGAAATTTGGGGAGGAATTTAGGACACAGCAATCATTTTTTGAGGTGTTTCTAAAACAAAGAGGGAAATCCGCTGGAACAATTATGATTTTACAGAACATGTTGGAATAGTGGTGAAGAACAGTTGAAAATGGGTAGTTCTAGAGATGATTCCCCAAACATACCAAGTGTCACTTGCACAGCTAACGTACAGTACCGCAGCCCACTGATCAAAGAAGGGGGTTAGATCAAAAGGGACACACTACGGGTCTGAAGGAGGAGTGAAAGATAGTGAAAGGCAAAAACATGAGTCTGCCAGAATTACATTCCCCGAGCGCTCAAATGCGGACTGAAAGGAGACTGTAGAAGTGCGGAGTGCAAGTCAATATGCAAGTGCAATGCACAGGTGGAATATGTCATGTAAGATGATGGCCAAATCACCTTTTTAGGTCACTGAAATACCATGAAATACCATGAAATACCATCTAGAAGATCCTAGTATGTTTGGGTCTCCTCAAATTGGGGTAACCTGGTGTCCCCATGAGAAAAGATAGATAACTTGAGTAACTTGGATGATAGTGGGTTGGAGTCTCCCATTTAAGGAGCCCCCCGTGAGTAAACAAGAACCATCTTGGATGTTGGATGGTTTAGCTGAACCATTTGAGTTAAAACAATATATATATATAGTAAATATCATGGTTGGATGATGTTCGATACCGACTATAATTTCCCAAGGAGCGTGCATCAACGGTGGATGTTTGATGCTTTCCGAATTCCGGGGGTCTTAGGTGAAGTTTTGGGAGAAGGCAAAATGGCACAGTCCTCCGCAAAATGATGAAAGAAACATTAAACATCATTAAAGTATACCCTCTGGTAAACTAACATAACTATGGAAAATCACCATTTTCAATGGGAAAATCCACTATAAATGGTCATTTTCAATCCACTAACATAACTATGTTAAATTACCAGAGGGTAAACATCCTTAAAGTATACCCAATTGTGCGGAACATCTGGTTTCAAATGTTTCAAGAACTCTAAGAGGAACATGAAGTAAGTGGGATACTGCGGGATTCTTACCCTAACATCCCATGGGTACCCCACTGTAGGTCGCTCTTCCCAAGTCGGCACCACCGGTTGGTGGCTAGTTTCAGCTTGCCGGAACAACATACTAGTCACTTCTGGGTCATCATTCCCAATTTCGGAATGTTGTCGAGATAGTGAATAGAACACTATTCCGAGCATCAATTCGGATTCGATTCCTCCAAAAACCTTTTAAAACATGATTCTCCATAGTTATGTTAGTTTACTGGAGGGTAACTCCCCTATTAATGATTATCAATGGAGGTTTTCCAAAAACTGCAAATAGGACATGAAACAAAACTTTTCCACACTAGCTTAAGTAAACCGGAGATCGTCCTCGTCTTCCACCCAGTAGTGATCAACGGGCTCAAAGGCATCATAGATCACCCTCAGCACTCCCCGATTTTGTTCGGGGGGAGCCAGTGAAACTCCTTTTCTTCGGGGCAGCCTGAAATTTCCATGATATTCCATGACATGAACAGCGAATTGAACAGTATACTGCAAAGTTGATGAAAAAACATCTACGACATTTCTCAGTCAGAATGAGGTGGAAAACTCACGGACAACTCTTGCACTTTAGTACCTTCAGGTAGTTAAAGAAGCAAGACGAAACCTCTGAATCACCCGTGGGCGCTTCAAAACCTGCAATGTTTCATGGGGATAATGATGATCAACCAGTGGATGAAATCATGAAATGAAGTTTTTTTTTTTTTCAAACAACCCATAACCATCTTTTTACCCATGTCATATTCTTGATTCTAGAAGATTCTATGCCTCATGACTCTATCCCCAGTTTTTTTTGCCATTGCCGGTCCATAGCCCAGCGACCCTCTTCGTGGTCCATCAACGGCTTCATAGAGCACTGCTGTGGCAATGTTGAGGTCACCTGGAGCCGCGCGGGACGTTCTTGGAAAACAACCGGTTTTTACCCGATATGGCTATGACTAACAGGTTGCCATGGAAAATCCTCATTTTATAGCTAGGTAAACCATGGTAAACCATCTAATTCTATGGGCCATGGCTTCCATGGCTATGTTAGTCATAACCAGAGGGTAAATACCAAAGAAAATGATCTACTTTCATAGTGGTTTGTCCAATCTTGTCCATATCTATCTTCATTCACTGCAATTCACTGCAAGGCGAAAAGTCATGCGGATACATAAGGATATCAATCAGCAACGGGTTGAGGCACACTTTGCAGCTTTTGTTCTCCATTGAGTCGGATTTCCTGTGATTTTTCATGCAATTTCCGGAATCTAACGTTAGTTCCTTACAAACGTCAACATCAACAACAAATATCATATGGCTGCTGATACAAAGCTATTAAATCCAGGGAGTACTGTACTCGGTGTATAAACAAGCATACTCCGTTGTGGTCAGTATCACAATCACAGAGGATGAAACCATCAATAAGATTTGATGTACTCATAGTCCACATGTGCCCATGCATCATACACATAGAACAAAGAGGTCAAAGGAAACATTCACCGAACTGATGCGGGACTGGATATCATTAAAACAATTAAAACGCAAATTAGGATAAACATCATCACAGTCCATTATGATGAAGATATATCCCATCATTAAGTATCCATGATTGAGATTAAGGTGCCCATCCAATATTTAATCGCAATCAGCGCACCTGTCTGCATACCCTTTTAGGTCCGTTGATTCTGGCTGCAAGAGATGCGTCTTTTACAGGACTGACCACATGGTAGCGGCCCCTGCGGTACTCAATGTTTGAGCTGTGCTGTGTTGTATAATGTTGTATATACATGTACACACATACGCATATATATATATACTGTAATACAAATAGATTAAATGCACATATATATATATATTGCTACAACCTTTCCCAAGCAAACATGTTCATAAATGGCCAGTGAAGCGAAGATAATTTTGAGCGTGGACCTAAAAATTCAACCACTTGCTGTATGGGTAAACCATCCGGTAATTTAGCCTAGCTATGGACAATGTGTTTCTGACGATTTACCTTTTCAACATGTTGATTTTCCATATCTATGCCTAATTACTAAAGGGTACAGTATACATGCAACAAACATATGCATTGCCACCCTACTCCACATGCGAGGACAAACCACATGCACATATAACAAATCCAGGCACGATAGTAATCCCAGCTTTCCCTAATATTAACTATCCCCTGCTAGAAACCTTGATTTAGTATGATTTAGTATTGTATCTATTCACTTCGCCATATGGAGGTATGGCTCATATTGGCGCGGTCCAAATGAGGTAACCCAATTTCTTTTGGATTGGATGGTCAACCCATGTCACCTATCGATAACCCAGCTGACACCAGCCCTTGGACTGTGGTTTTTCAAGGGCCTGGAGTAGCTTGTACCCATTCGTAGCTGGATTCTGCTTCGTTCAGCTTCTGCTTCTTGTTGGGTGGTGGCATGGCGTGCACACGGCAGCCACTGGCACCCGCTCAAAACGCTTAAACCGGCACAGACTGCTGTCTGGATAGCCTGAAATGGATGCAACATGACGTTTTTCCATTTCTGATACAGTATTTGCATCTCGTATTTGCATCTCATCTCTTGTGAACTTGGAAATGTTAAGTGTGTAGAAGATGGTACCCACCAACATGCGACAAGTTTACAACAAACATGACCCTGTACAGCCAAAAGGCAACGATTGGCTGCCTGGTTTCAAGGCAGGACCCTCCGGTGGTGGGGGATATGATGTCCCATGATGTCCGGAAATTTGTCGAATAGGGAGGGTCTCTTTCAAGAATCATGACATCAAAAATCATCAAACATTGTCATCCAACTGCTATGGCCTGGTTAAGGCTTGCCGCAACAAAAGGGCACTTGCTTCTGGCGACCATCAAGAACTTGTGCACCAAAATGACCTGCAATCACCAAGTGACTTTTCTTGGTGCTCTTTGGTCTCTGAAGATAGGCAGACATACTATGAAATTAGATCTCGATCCTCAGCTATTCTACCAACAGACCTATCTTAGATAACTTAGACTTTCAGTAGACTATGGCTAACTAACAATCATAAAGTCTGAACGTACCACCCTGGCCTCTTGCTCAAGTGAAAGTGCATCACAAGTCACAAGATCACCAGAATTGAAGCGGCTTCATGTTCAGTGTAACAACCCCAAGGCTTTGAAGATTGATTCTTACCAGAGCACTTGGTAGCCTTTGTCATCCCAGATCCCACAAGTCTATGTTGTCTGAGAAAGAACATCCGTTTAGGGTCAGGTTTGTGGAACACTCAATCCCCCAATGGTAATTGCGTTGGTTTATCATCATTTTTCGATTGTGATATTATAGTTTCGGGGCATTTCCCAGTTTTGTGGAACTTAAGTGTGATATTTTAGCTTAGCTTCCCTAAAATTGGGGAACCCAATAACTATACTTACCAAAATGTGTTAAGCATTTGAGTTCCCAGCATTGGTTTACGGACATTTTACATGAAACCTCCATATTTAGCGCTAAAAACCAGTGTTCCTGCAGGTTTTCTCGGATGAAACACATCCATTGATCTTGTTTTATCCCATGAAATATCCCCTGAGATCATCATTTTTGCAGTTTTTTTGTTTCCATTTTTAGTGGTCCAATCCGTCTTTTTGTTGCTCCCCAGTCGTCCAAAAGGGGGTCCCGAGAGATCCGTCCTCATCTTGCACGACCACCTCAAAGTCCGGGGCAATTTCTTCCGTCAGCAAGCGCTTTAAATCCTGTCTGACACCGTTGGTGTCTGGTTGGAGAGAAGATATATGGGAGAATTCTGGGATATATGATATATATATATATATGATATATGATATATGATGATAAGTATCTACATTACATAGATTATAACTATCTGTATATATATATATACATATTCATAAACAATAGCAAAGAACTATAACATAGATCCTGAATGGGCGGTTAGTTGGTCGAACATCAAACGATTGGATGGTGAAGGTTTTGCACATGCCGATTGATCTAGAACGATCTATATAGAGATAGGGTCCTCAAGTCCAAATAAAATGGTTCTAGCGGTATATATATATAATATATATAATAAACAATATATATGTACATACGTGTATATATATACATATTCTATGGGGTATAGTTGTTTCATTTTTTATCATCCAATTATCCCATAGTATCTCATGCCTGACTTTTCTTCCTTCCGACGTTCACTGAACATTTCTATGTCCTATAGCCTCGGAGGAACACACACACACAAAACCCAGCCACACTGGCTTGGACCTCAATGAGCCTCATGAGCCAAACAGTTAGCCTTCATCCCGAGCATGTTCTGGGATGGGGTCTCTATCTCTAACGTCGACCCATCATGCCCATGTGTCTATGGATCAAAACCGGGACTCGTGAACAAGAAATCGAAACTTTTCCCATTTAGGTATGGCTGAGACACCATGGACTTCCTTGGGATTCACGTGAAAATGGCGTGTGCTTATTCATGTTCATCCCCTCATTCGATTGGTCCAATCACGGCCAAACTTAGATACCCAAACCACATGTCTTTCTTAGTTGGTTAGACACTTAGATCTGGTGTATATGTATATATATTCCATTCTATTCCATTATATTCCCAATTATTTATACAATAGTTTTAAAAAAAATGATATATGGAATATTCCCAATAGATATATGCCATTATTAATTATAGATACATTATAGCACATTGTAGCAAAGAAACAACAAACAAACATTGAAAAAAACTATTGATCCAGTTGGTTGACCCGATGTCGCCTGTGCCAAGGTAGATGCTGGCAGCGCTTGCCTCGAGGCAAAAAGGGACTCCAGCAAGTGCGTTATATATGGAGATTTCCATAGATTTCCTGATTTGGTATATCATATGTATATGTATATTGTATATGAAGTCACGTTATTACCATTATTACAATCATATTACTATGATATATTGTAATATGTTATCAAAATTGACTATACATCATTATTTGTTATTAGTATTATATAAATTATATATATATATATATTAATATGTATATACATATATATCTCATATGTCATTATTATAAACCCCAAAGTGTACAATCAATTTTGCCAAGGCACGCATGGTCCAACGAGGTGGCGTGCCAGGAGGATTCCTGGAAGCCATCAGATGTGGGGTTGTTTGAGTGGATACAAACATATTGGGATGGGTCAAAACCTTGTAACCCTGGTGAACCCCCTAAAAATGGTATTTATAGGCATTGATCCATGGGCATATTGAGATCTTCAGAGACACTCATAGATTATGTCATAGATAGTCACAATTATCCACACCAAACCACCAAACACTGAAAAACAGCAGACAAGGGACGGATTCCTTTCCCTCAAGCCCAAAGAACTGGTGAAGTTCAATCTTCCCATTGTTGCTCCGAGTAAAAACTGCCAGTCTTGCTTGAATGCGTCATTGATGTTGCTTCAGATTTAAGTTTTGAATCCACCGTGTGTGTCGGTGGAGTCCATCATGTGTTTTTGCTTGAGATGTTCATTTTTGATTTATCAAGTCCCAATTGGCTCCTTTCCTTGTTGTTTGTCAAATACCATCTCGTTTTGATGCAAGACAAGTTTGTTGGAACGATCCCCATTTTTGCTGGAACAATAAACATTTTCAAAAACAACTCATTTTCTTCGGTCACAAACTTACATTTTTGATCGTGGGCTTTGTCTCAAAACCACGGATACCCATGAAACATTCCATCCTTTGTCATATACCCAATATACATTGATTGTTGGTTAAGTTCCCATTATTTCATACCCACTGTACCCCATGTTTGTTGTTGGTTGCTTCATATCCCATCTTCGTCGGTCAATATCACAACTGATTGGTGGTTTCAACCCGAAAAATATGCGGATCATCACCCCGTTTATTGGCAAAACTACAGCATATATTAGACCACCAACCACACAGTTTTTCATGGCCAAGCGATCCCAATTTTGTCTGTGGAATTCTGCAACTTGTGGCTCTCAGACTCTCTCTCTCTGGTCACCTGCAAATCCTCGCACCACGCTTGCGGGGACTGTCCAGCCTGGCACTAGAACAAGAGGAAACCCATGGAAACCCTGGAGGACCGAAGGGATTCTCGAGGATTCTTGCATAAAAAACATGTTTTAAAACTAGCTATTTGGGATTCACATCTCTTTTTAGGATAAAATGATCTTTGGATCCAAGAATGTGAAAACATGACATGCGCCCGAGACAATGTACATCAGGCAAGTGGATGGGGGCCTGAAGCGTGAGGGAAGTCACACCGACTTCAGGTTTGCTGAACCAGCTGGAACCACTGGTCGTTCAAAATAGCGATGGAACATCACAATTTTTAATTGCTAAACCATCGCTTTCTTGTTGGGCCATCTATAGCAAACTGTAACAAAATTACTAGAGGGTAATTCCCACTCATATCACATATCCCCATGAAATTGTTGGTTAAATCCCCATGAAATCACCATCCACTGAGTCAGAGTCAAGTCCTTCCAGGACCAAGAAGTTAAGCAAGCCATGGTTATGAAGACCCCAGCTACGATAGTTCATGTTGAATTCCTGTGGTTTATGATAATGTCTTGACATGTATATATATATATATGTATATGTATATATATACACGTATATGTAATATATATATATATACATATGTAATATATATATATATGTATATACAAATGTACACTACATGCATTGGTACTGGTTATACACCCGGTGTATATCAGTAGTAGTGGTTTTAACCTATGCTATGCAAACAAGGAATCTGTGGATTGGGATCATCATCGAAGATCAGCATTTTGGTGGATGAAAAATCCACGTGTTTTTTTCCACCCACTCAAATCCATAAATCTTGAACTATATATATAATATATATATATTATTACTATATTATATGTCTCATACCGAGGTATACATACGTATATCAAATGCTATATATGGAGGTATATATATATTATACCAAATCAACTCATATGACAATGCATTATAAATATATATACATTGACAATACTATAAAACAAGACTTCATTATATGTACATATATATATATGCATACAATTAATAATACTAAGAAAAATAGAAGTAAACAGAGTCATAATGATGTGTGTATACATTGACATACCTCTATATAAACACCCTGCTGATCTACGAGACCATCCCCTCCAGACCTTCGATCTGGCACCTGAGAGCTGATCAAAACATGGCAAGATACCAAAACAAAGCCCTGAATTTCTTGGTTTTTAATGGTTATTTGTGGTTACCCTCTGGTAAACTAACATAGCTATGGAAAATCACAATTTTTAACGGGAAAATCAACTATTAATGGCAATTTTCAATAGCTATGTTAAATTACCAGAGGGTAGTATCAATGGTTAGTATTCACGATTTTTTCATGGTCACTGTTTTCCATTCATGCAATTTTTGGGGATACCTCGCCTATACCTTATTTGTTGATACGCCCAAATGCTGTTCCATACAAAAT